CAGTGTGAACGTGGAGATCGCGTTTAGGCGGGATTTTTGCCTCAAATCCCATTTCGATTTGACAGCTCCAGTTATCTATAAATAGACCGCTAAGGTCAAATCAAGTGTCAATTCGACTCTTCTGTTCTATTCCGAGATGATAACGAGCCTTCTCGTTCCGAAAATCCGGCAAACTTCCCCTTTGAAGACTCTATAGCTCCTAAGAAAGTTGCTGCTAAGCTCGTGAAAGGAAATCCGTCATGACGAGTTCAGGCACGCCGATAGCCTCGACTACCAGTGGCGCTGCGGCTCAGACAGCTGCGTCGCTGTCACATATCCCTTTCGTCGGTGGTACGTGCTGGACCTCTTAACCATAAACTTGTTTCGACAAGTTCTGAATTCCAAACGACGAGTAAAACTCTCGTTTTGTTATTGGAACGCGGAAGTGGATCTCTGTGTTTTGGACTTGAAACGCGGAGTTGTCCTGTGTTTTGAACTTGAAACACAGGGTTGACCTCAGCGTTTTGAGATTTGAGATGCGGGTCTGACCTCAATGTTTTGATTTTGAAACACTGGTTGACCTCAGCATTTTGAGATTTGAGACGCGGGTCTGACCTTAGCGTTTTGATTTTGAAACACGGGTTGACGTCAACGTTTTGAGATTTGAGACGCGGGTCTAACCTCAGCGTTTTGATTTTAAAATGCGGGTTGACCTAAGCATTTTGAGATTTGAGACGCGAGTCAACCTCAGTGTTTTAAGATTTGAGACACGGGTCTAACCTCAATGTTTTGATTTTGAAACACAGGTTTTACCTTCGTGTTTTAGAGACAAAACGCGGGGCTGATCCTTGCGTTTAGAATTAAGTCTTGGTTTTAGACTTATTTTGGCTTCACACTAACTTGTTTGTTTCTTTATTTGCAGTGCACTACCCTAATGAGTCTCTTTCCTTCTGTCATTATTTTGGACATGAAGGTGGTGCGTATCGCAACATGCATTTCAATCTTCACCAAGAGCTTCCCGTCTTCTAAGATACCGATAATGAATGTGCGGAGACTGTCACCCAAGCCACTTCAGCAACACTCAGGGCTCTAGTTACAGATGCTAGATTTGAGACTGTGGACTGTAAAAAACTTAATAAGCCTGCATTTATATTTGGGGACTCTGTTGAAATTAAAACGAATCTCATGTACGATGGGAATTATAAATGGCTGAGGAAGGTCGGGGATCGTCATCTCTTTTTGCCCAATATGGAGAGGATGTTCCCTCTATCATATTTTCAGTGTGCCTCTATCTCAAGGAACATGGATTGGGACCTCGTCAAAGAACAGGATGGGGTTGTGGTTGGTAATTTAACTTTTATGGTGTTCGTACAGTGGGCTATAGCCGATAGGTGACAACTTTAGGACCAGACCTATTTGCCAAGGAATATCCAGTTGGTGAAACAGCTAGCCCAGCGAATACTTTTATCAAAAGATTTATTGTGGTGAATGTAGTATTAGCAGTTTCTGTATGAGTCCATCGAGCATTGTTTATTTAGGTCATGCTTATTAGTGTGCTTTCTTTTACAATCTGACAAAACGTCCAGCCTCTGCTTTGATATAGGTATCAGTCTTAATTAAAACTTGTCATAGTGTAGTCATGTCTTGGGTAATGGAGAAAGAGGTAACTTACAAGTAAAAAAGGTTTACCTCTTTCTCCATTACCCATCATGATCTGACAAAGCTGGCCACTATAGTTATTTTCATGTTGGCTACTTAGTGTAAAATGCTAATCTGAAGCGATTCTTTTTTATGTAAAATGGTTGCTAAAATTATCAGCAATACCTAAAATCAAGGAGGTTCAAAGCTTTAGCGAGAATGCCAGGTCTTATTTAGAAAGTATAGTTAGTGGCTTCAGCAAAGCTGATGCTCTGGAAGTGAAAAAGATTGAAAAAGTAACTAACCACGATGTTAAGGCAGTGGAATACTTCTTGAAACAGAAATGACAATCCAATGCTGAGATTGCTGAGGTGAGTTTTTGATGTTCCTTGTTGTGGGTACTCTATGCTTCCTCTTTTTATAATTATGACTAACTGTGGCTTCAAAGATTTCATTTGATGCTTAATATTTGACATCAGATTCTACAAAATTCTTTTTAGGTACTGGAGTTTTTCCATTTTGCTTGTACATCAGAGGATATAAATAATTTAGCCCACGCATTGGCACTGAAGGAGGCGTTCAACACTGTCATATTTCCTATGATGATTGAGTTGTTGGATGCAATATGCAAATTAGCGAAGGAAAATGCTCATATCTCCATGTTGTCTCGCACTCATGGACAGGTATTTTCAGTTCTAGATGAGAGGCAACTCTTGTTATAACGGAATACCAACTTTTTGTTGATTAGATGTTATCTACAAAAACTTTAATGCTATATAAGCATAATTGAAAATCTTATATTTCCCTTTTATTTGTGTTTACACATAGAAGGACATAGTTTATTGTATATATTGATTTAAAAAAAAAGAATCAGAAGCTATTAGACTAAGAAAATGCAAAGAATGCTTCAAGGAAAAAGAAAAATTCTTTTTCATTTCCATGAACTAATTTATTTAGCAATCCTAAATTCTTAATGAAATTTATCCCAAATGGAGAAGGGATGCAACTGACAAGAGCACGTTTAGAGAAGGATTAGAGAAGTGGGAGTACTCAAAGAAAAACAAAGTACTCTTGGGTTTAAAAAGTTAAACTTAATCTAAGGTGCACAGGGTAATATTCCACTAAGAATTTTTCCCTAATGTCCTGGTGGTGGATTTTTTTTTTGGTTGAAATAACTCAAAGATTTCTGGCTGGTCATTTCGGTGAAAATTTTTTATACAAAAGTAAGCTTTTTTTTCGGGGGGAGGGGGCATATATAGAAATAATTAAATAATGATTACATACTGAAACTTTCTACATGGGGCTAATACATCATGTATAATTACTGGTTTGATAAAGATTATACTATCTATCTTCGTTCATATATGTTTGCAGGACATGTTCTACATTCCTTTGTTCTTGAGTTTTTAGCTTGATGCTATGAAATAAATTGAATGGAACCTTTTCAATATGAAGGTTCAAAATAATATAATCATGTCTTTGTTTCTTATTTAGTCCTACATCAGAAAATGAGTGAGAAGTTAAGTTGCTTAAATAGGTATGCCCAAGACTCAAGTGTAACACGGCTAGTTGATTTTGGCAGTGGGTTGAGCCAAACATGTTACACTTGGTTGGTCCCACGACTTGTACTGTACCAATGGGCCCGGCAGCCCAGGGCGTGTCAAATTGTATCATAGTAGTTGCGAGTCGGAAGTGTGGAGCTAAGTGCTATGTACGGCTAAGTGCTATATTGCGTGAGTGTGGTGGGAGCCACCTCTAGAGTCCACATAACCTAGTGATACCGGGATGTGCCAATTGTCATGTCACGATGAGGATGTCGCTTATGTAAGGTGGGGTGTTTGTGACACTCCTATTTAGTCCAACATTAGGAAATGAGTGAGAATTTAAGTGGCTTAAATTATTTAAGTGTAACATCGGTTAGTCGATTTTGACAGTAGATTGAGCCAAACAACAAGTTACACTTGTTGGGTCCCATGGCTTGTACCACACCAATGGGCCCGTCAGGCCGGGACGTGACATGGACAATATTAGAAGCGAACATATACTAAGTTGACTACTCAAAGCAGCTGAAATATCATATTGATAATTTTCATCGTTATGCTACATGAATAAATGATTTGCTTTTGTAATAGGTTTATGTGGTTTAGTTCTGATATCTTCTAACTCCCTTTGTAGCCTGCTTCACCCACTACTTTGGGAAAGGAGATGACAAATTTTGCTTTCAGACTAAGTGAAGTAGGGAAGACCTTTACAGAAGTGCAAATATTGGACAAGTGTGCTGGAGCTGTTAGAAACTACAATGCACATAAAGTTGCATGTCCTGATATTGATTGGCCAACTGTTACAGCTGAGTTCGTGACCTATTTGGGGTTAGGTTTCAACCCTTACGTGACACAGGCATGTTTATTTACTTCTACTACTTTTCTCTTTGCAAGGTTTTACCTATCTGATTCATTTCAGCTTGATGGATTTTTTTGCGTAATTAAGTAGTGCATAGACGATTTTGATATGGTTTTTTCTTTGCGGATAACTTGGATAGGTTTCATTAATGGGAGGAGTACTTTATTTTTTGACACTGCTGCTGGTATTCATTGTTCTCTGCTTGAACTAGTTTACTAGTAAACAGTCCTCGTGAAGATTTAGGTAACTATACAAACTGTAAAAGTGTATAACTAATAGAGCCTCAGGATTTTCTTTAATATGAGTTTTGCAATCGCCTCAGGTGACTGAAATGTAGGTTTTTTTTTTGCCATTTCACGTTTCAAGAGTTTACAAAAGGTGATTCATATAGTAAGTAGATACTATCATGTGCATGCTTGATAATAAGTAGATACACTTGCAGGTTATCCATCTATCTTGCAATTACAATATATTTATCAATTAGCCTATTCTACACCAACCAGCTAGTGCATAAATAATAATGGAATTGCAGCGCCAGCTAATAATTTTGTTAATTTTGTGCTGTCTAAAAGGTTACGTCAATGTGGCCTATGAATGGAATAGCACTTGGCTTGCATGCATACTCTCTATCTGAGCTTGTTGCTTGCTCCGTATACAGATTGATATCGCAAAGATTTTCAATGCAATTGTTCAGTTTAATAACATCCTGACTGATTTTGATCGGTACATATGGAGCTATATTTCGTTAGGTTATTTTAAGCAGGTAACTTTCTTATGCTTGACCACTATACCCCTAAAATATTAGGACCTATTTTAGCTCACAAACTTCCAATTTGGAACTAAACGATTTCATGATAATTTTGCTTTCCAGATGACCAAGGCTGGGGAGATTGGATCTTCAACTATGCCTCATAAAGTTAATCCCATTGATTTTGAGAATAGTGAGGGTAACTTGTGTTTGGCTAATGCTATTTTATCTGCTAGCTCTCAGCTCGAAATTGCCCATCTCTCGTATGCAGGTGTGTATCATTTACTTTTCCATCTTTATTTATGGTTCTTGAGGAGTATCTAATATGAAGTTCAGTGCTATATCAAGTTCAAAAAACACGTCTTAGTGTCTCATTCTGGTAAAGTGATACTATACTTATTGCATGTGTAATCATTGACAGAGGGATTTGACCGATTCCACTGTTTTGAGGAATTTGGGTATTAGATCTGGGTATTCTCTCTTGGCATACAAAAGTGCACTACAAGGAATCCGGAAGCTTCAGGTTAGTAGTAAAATCTGTGTGAGATGGTTATCACTAGAGAATTAGATATAAAGCTAGATGTGTTATTGGTAGGAAATGTGCTGCTGTCATCGTTCTTTGCTTCATGTATGTTGTTTGTTCTGTTCTTGCTTTAACTATTTAGGTTGGGCATATGTTGAATTTGAATTCGTCACTAATGCAAGATGCTAAATTCTATGAATTACAAGATCATAGAAATGTGGATCCATTTCAAGATGAATTATTGTCTTGCTGTCAACATAATTTCTATCCAATGTACATCCATCTAATAATAAATATGATTTTACCAATGTTTAAGTTTTTTTCTATATAAGCATTTCTTTTCTAAAATTGTACTAACCATTTCCCTCAAAAATATTGTATGAACTATGTCTTTGCTATCCTTTTCAATTTCCTTTAGATCTATTATTTGGGATCCATAACTATGATATCTGGCATGATTCTTTTAAAAAAATTCAGTCTGTACGTCCGAGTAGTTGATGCGAAGAAAGATACATCTAAAAGTGGAAAAAGCTCCTTTTTTACTTAATATGCTGCCGACGTATAAAGACAATCCCAATGTTAACATTTAATTAGGGGTGGCAAATGGTTCAGGTTGGGTCGGGTAGGGTCATAGTTGACCCAACCCGTATAAGTGTGACCCGACCCGACCCGTTTAACAAATGAGTCAATGCGACCCGACATGTTTATTAAACGAGTTACCCGACCCGACCCATATAACCTGAATGACCCATTTATCAAATCTCAGTTCAATATCGTGGATACTATATATATCAAATCTCAGTTCAATAACCTGAATGGGTCGGGTTGGGTCGGATAGCGATAGGTTCTCCAGCTTCCCGCATCTCGCCAGGTCGTAGAGCACGTCGGGCACCTATTTCCCCCCTTCTCCGATCTCCCCTTATCCTCCTCCGATCTCATTCGTACGAGCAGAACCACGATTGATCTCGACTGTTGAAATACTGGCTCGCTATCGATGAGGACAACTGAAGCTCAAAGGATTGTAGTGTGTAGGTGATGAAAAAACAAAGGGCTTTTAGAAAACTTGAAAATGAGAGATTGAAATTTTAAGCTCAAATCACTTAGAAAATGAAACTCAGGATTTTTCTCTTGCTTGCATTAGTTCTGAAAAGAGGAGAGGGTTTAAGTATATATAGAGCCTTAAAACCCTAGCCAAAATATTTACCAAAAGAGAAAATCCCGAAAAAGGCTGCCAGAAAAATAGCCGTTATAAGTCGACTTGCTACAGTGACAAGTCGACTTGTAACTAGCCGTTACAGTCATTTTTTCAGCCTATAAGTCGACTTATAAAATACGTAAGTCGACTTAGTGTAAGTCGACTTAACAGGTTATGCAAGTCGACTTGGCAGAGAGATTTTTGGACTTTCCAGAGGAGTTTATAAGTCGACTATGGAAAGTGTATGTGTGAATCCAATGAGCTTTAGATGTAACCAACTTAATAACTTGCCTACATTAAGCACTAGAGAGAAGTAAAATACAAATATCTCACATATATGAATATTGATGTCTTGGACTTGATATTTGCTTTCATGTTTGATGAAGCTTCTTGTACATGTTGTGCTCTTGATAGCTTTGCTTCATCGTGTTACCTCCACCTCCTTTAGATATTATCGTTATAGCTCGTATTCCATCCAATCCTCCATAAAAGGTGCTAATGATATAAAATCTACAATATAGCTCAATAAACAATTAGCACCAATAATGGTGTTTGTAAATCATCATCAAAACAAAGGGCCTAACAATCTCCCCCTTTTTGATGATGACAAACAACCATTATGCAAGAGCAAGTAAAAGTGAATTACTTAGCTTATAGATAGTTGCTCCCCCTATCTATGAAGCTCCCCCTTACTATGTGCGCAAAAGAGGAGATTTCTCTCCCCCTTTGGCAACATCAAAAAGGGGTAAAAGAAATACAATATGCATGCTAAAAACCCACACAATATACCTCAAGTGTTGGCCTACCCGTGTCTCCCTCAAGTGTTAGGAATTACTACCTACCTCTAGGCATTATCACCTACCCCACTCCTCTTGGGATGACCCCGGTCTCTCACCTCTACACTCCTCTTGGTAATCATGTGTGCTTAAGCATGGTGTGACAATTTGATGCAAAAGAAATAGACATGACAAAGGTAAATCAAAGAACCAAAAAAAAATTTAGGCAAAAGGATTTTTAAAGGATGCACATGCCTAATTCATTTCTAATACGACAAAAATCAACTTCACAAAGGGGTTTGGTAAAGATATCCGCTAGTTGGGATTGGTGTCAATATAAACAAGTGAAATATCTTTCCGCTCAACATGGTCACGCAAGAAGTGATGCCGTACGTCTATATGTTTGGTTCTAGAATGTAAAACGGAATTTTTTGAAATATTGATAGCACTAGTGTTATCACAAAAAATTTTTGTATCATGAAAGTGTAAATCAAAATCAACCAAATTTTGTTTCATCCATAAAAGTTGTGCACAACATAAGCCGGCGGCAATGTATTCCGCTTCCGTAGTGGACAAAGCAACACAATTTTGTTTCTTGGATGCCCAAGATACAAGTGAGTTACCCAAAAATTGACAAGTACCACTCGTACTTTTACAGTCCACCCTACAACCGGCAAAGTCAGCATCACAATAACCACAAAGATCAAAAGATGTATTTTTAGGATAAAACAAACCAAGTTCTAAAGAGCCATTTATGTATTTGATAATCCTTTTAACCGCAATCAAATGAAACTTTTTAGGAGAAGCTTGAAAACGTGCACATGCACAAACACTAAACATGATATCCGGCCTACTAGCGGTGAGATAAAGAAGACTACCTATCATACCTCGATATAGCTTTTGGTCTACCTTTTCACCACTTACATCCGCATCCAATTTGATGGTGGTGCTCATTGGAGTTGGGGCATGTTTTGAACTTTCCATCCCAAATTTCTTCACCAATTCCCTAGCATATTTGCTTTGTGATACGAAGATACCATCATTGGATTGTTTGACTTGGAGGCCAAGGAAGAATGTAAGCTCTCCCATCATACTCATCTCAAATTGATCTTGCATAACTTTAGAAAAATCCTTGCATAAAGATTCATTAGTGGCACCAAAAATAATATCATCCACATATATTTGAACTAAAATAAAATCATTTTTCCTTTTTCTAACAAAAAGAGTATTATCAATAGTTCCTTTTGAAAAACCATTTTCAATGAGAAAACTTGAGAGGCGAGCATACCAAGCTCTAGGAGCTTGTTTTAACCCATATAAAGCTTTTTGAACCCGGTATACATGATTTGGAAAAGATGAATCAATAAATCCGGGGGGTTGCTCGACATAAACTTCTTCTTCAATAAAACCATTTAGAAAGGCACTTTTGACATCCATTTGAAATAATTTAAAATTTTTAAAACTTGCAAAAGCCAAAAACATCCTAATAGATTCCAATCTTGCAACCGGTGCAAAAGTTTCATCATAGTCTTTGCCCTCCTCTTGATTGTATCCTTGGGCAACTAAGCGAGCTTTATTTCTAGTTACTATGCCAAATTCATCAAGCTTATTTCTAAAAACCCATTTAGTTCCAATAATAGAGATATTACTTGGTCTAGGAACTAATTTCCAAACATTATTTCTTTGAAAATTATTCAACTCTTCATGCATAGCTAAAACCCAAAACTCATCATTCAAAGCATCATCAATACGTTTAGGTTCTATTTGGGATAAAAAGGCTACATTACCACATTCGCTTATAGCTTTTGAGCGAGTCAAGATGCCTTTGGATGGACTTCCTATAATTTGGTCTTTAGGATGATCCGGAGCAAATTTCCAAGCCTTAGGAAGTTCTTCTTGATTTTGTTCATCTTTGCTTTCCCCATCATTGGGTGATTCCGTTGAGGGTTTATCATTTAGTTGCAAGAGCTCCATTTCTCCCTCAATCTCATCATCATACCTAGGCAAACCATCTTGCAAACCAACATTAGATTCATCAAAAGTAACGTTTATAGATTCTTCAACAACGAGTGTTCGCTTGTTGAAAACTCTATAAGCCTTACTTCTAGGAGCATATCCCAAAAATATACCAACATCAATTTTTGAATCAAACTTATCATGGTGGTCTTTAGTATTTAAGATAAAGCATTTACAACCAAATATACAAAAATATCCAATATGTGGAGTTTTGCCAAAAAAGAGTTCATAAGGGGTTTTCTTAAAAGAAGGTCTAATCAAAACATGATTTAAAACATGGCAAGCCGTATTAACGGCTTCCGCCCAAAAATATTTTGGCAAATCATAAGAATTTATCATAGTACGTGCTATCTCTTGTATGGTTTTATTTTTCCGTTCAACAACACCATTTTGTTGAGGTGTTCTAGGGGCGGAAAACACATGTGTTATACCACGATGAGCACAAAAATCATTAAAAAATTTGTTTTGAAATTCTCCACCATGATCACTTCTAATTTTAATAACTTTTAAATCCTTTTCATTTTCAATTCTTTTCACAAAAAAGGAAAACTCTTCAAAGCAATCATCTTTGTTAGCAAGAAAAATCACCCATGTAAAACGAGAGAAATCATCAACAATAACAAAGACATAGTGTTTGCCTCCTAGAGAGGCAACACGCATGGGTCCAAAAAGATCGAGATGTAATAATTGTAAGGGTTTAGAGGTGGATACCTCATTTATGGATTTGAAGGAAGTCTTAGTTTGTTTACCTTTAGCACATTCCTCACAAGTAGAATCCTTAATATATGTTAGATTTGGGAGCCCTCTTACTAAGTTCTTCTTGGATAGCTTAGATATTAGCTTCATGTTAGCATGTCCAAGTCTCTTATGCCAAATCCAAGGATCCCCATCTACCACAGAAAGACACTTTACATCTTGATCTATTAGCTCATCCATCTCAAAAATATAAACATTAGATCTTCTAGAGGCAATAAAAACAATCTTATCATTCATACTAACAATACATTTATCCGGT